CTACGAAGTTACCATAACTTTTAAGGCTGTAATCTTTAAGGAAGCAGACTGCCATATCTTTCTCCCTTGGAGCGGCTGGTGGGTTTGACCCTTCAGTTAGCAGCCGATGGCTTAAGCACTGGGCCACCAGGGCTCCTTTCTGCTTTTTGGTGGATAATATATGTCACAGACAGAATGACAGAATATTGTCCCCAGAACCTGAAGAGGCAAAGCTGGTTTTTTGTTTTTGTTTTTTTAATTTTTATTGTGATTTGAGTGAAGAGGCAAAGTATTGATAGCTGGCTTCCTCTACTAAGACAGTTAAGGAAAGTCAAGTTTGAACACTGAAGATCATTTGAGTCAGCCCCATCCCAGAGTTAAGGTAGAACGGTATCAAGATGACTTATAGCAGCCTGAAGTGAAATTAGGGGACAAATTGGTTGGGGATGCCCCATTCTGCAGGGGTTCCCCTGGTAAGCTTAAGGGGGAATTCCCTTAAATATGGTAGAACCCCAACAGTAAATATAGGGGTTAGAGGGGAGAACAGATCCCTGCTTGCTAGTAGGAGTCTGAAAGGAGTAGGGGAATTCCTAAAAACTCCACTTACAAAGTAGATTCCCTTCTGTTACTCAAAGTTCCCTTGGTATAGGGTATTCTGACATATTTGTGATTACTATCCCATTGACTTTTGTTTCTCATTTGATCTTACTTCAGAGTTTAGAGGAAGGCGATTAAATATACAAATATAAATTGAGAAAAATATAAATATGCACACACTGTTTGGCTGTTAGGAATTCAGTATCCTAGGATTTAGGCCATCTGTTTGCACTCTCTGAATCTAATTAATTCATTTCAGAAGGCATGGGTGGGGGGAGTGATTATAAGAGCTTGGGTGCTAACCAAAAGGTCGCTGGTTTGAACCCACCAGCTGCTCCCTGAGAGAATGATGTGGCACTCTGCTTCTGTAAAGATTACATTCTTGGAAAACCTACAGCACAGTTTTATTCTGTCCTATAGGGTCACTATGAGTCAGAATCAACTTGATGACAATAGGCTTTTTTGTTTTGTTTTCTGGTTTGCCATTTATTTCTAAGTTTCTAAGTTTCTAAGTTTAAACATAATTCAGACAGAAGACATTGTGGATCTTACAAATATAAGGCAAAAATATTTGTCTTAGACAAATGCAGTCCTGACACGATTAACACCATTTTTGGTGAATCTGGCACTATCAGAAAGCAAAAAAATAATAATGATGTAGTGCCTAAGGTATTTGACTACTAACCAGAAGCCTGGCAGTTCAAACCCACCAGCCACTCCTCGGAAGAAGGTTGGGCAATCTACCTCCGTAGTGATATTACCTTGGAAACCCAAGGAGGGGTCGCTGTGAGTCAGATCCAACGCCACTGGGCAGTGGTTGCATTTTTAATTAGCATAAATTTGCATAGTGCTTATTACATATTATGCATAAATGAAGAAAAGAATATTTAAAGTTTCAGAAAGAAAACAGACTTTAATGTTGAAATAAAAATTCTTAAGTCCGTTTTCACATCCCATCCCATTAAGAATTTAACTTTAGTAACTTTTCCCTTTTTTCACTGGAGGTGGGGTGATACAGGGTGATAGTTAAAATACAATAATAATGTGTTCATTTGCAAAGTGTCACCAATTAAGAAAAATAACTCATTAAAGGAGAAAGCAAAATATTATTACAGTCTTGTATATATAGCATAGAAGCACATATTACATACAGTGAAGTGAGCAGAATTCTCTCATTTCTTTAGGACACAAATTAGGTCAAGGTCACAGATTCCACTGTCAAGGAGGAGTCGCTATGCATCAGTCCAACTCGACGGCACACAACATCAACAACAACAAAACTTCCATACAAACAAAACAATGCAAGACAAAAAACATCCCACAAACTATACCAACTTGAGGACTTACATCATTACTGGAAAAATGACTCAAAGTCAGTATCTTTTTGTGGCAGGTTAGTAGTAGCATTCTTTACATTACATTTACTCTATAAGGTAGTACTAATTTTTTTTTGTTTGATATACATCACTGTTCATTTACACATATACCAAAACTATAATAAATTGAGAATTGCTTTGAATAAATTTATACAATCACTAGTATTTATGAGGAGCTCTGGTGGCATTAGTGCCTTAGTGCCTAAGGCATTTGACTGCTAACCAGAAGGCTGGTGGTTCAAACCTACCAGACACATCTTGGCAGGAAGGTTGGGCAACCTACTTCCATAGTGATGTTGTTGTTGTTACGTATCATCGAGTCAGACCCGACTCATTGTCATCCCTCCTTGGGACTCCTAGGCAGTATCACTATGGAAGTAGATTGCCCAACCTTGCTTCAGAGGAGTGACTGGTGGGTATGAACTGCCAGCCTTCTGGTTAGCAGTCAAGTAACTTAGGCACAACACTACCAGAGCTCTGCCTCAGAAACCCGAGGAGGGATCTCTATGAGTTGGATCCCACTCAATGGCAGTGAGTTAGGTTAAGTTTAGTAGTATTAATGTGTCTGTATGTGCATTCCAGTATTTAGCCCATTTAAAAACATTAAGGTAAATGGCATTTCATAGTAATTTGGGAACTCTTTTATGAATTTTGAAAAGTAACCTTGGAAAACAAATCATACATTACATTATTTAAAGGCTTTGAAAGTGACAGTATTGCAATATTTTTCTTATTTTAACAGAAAAAGAAATGTCTATATATATTTAAAATTCTGAGAAGCACAAAAATTTAACATATGCTCTTTATAAAACATATATAATACTCCATTAACGATTATATATTATATGTATGTAACTACTATATATATTAGTATATTTCTATAATGTACCAAGTTAAAGTTCCTAGCAAAACTCCTCCCACTAGATATAAGTGTATAAAGAGTTAATGTATATATTTTTTCTATGTACATCTCAATATACATTATTATTAATGTAAAAATGTACACTACCATATATTTTCCCACTCAACAATGTATCTTGGACATATTTTATTATTTTTTTATTCAGCTTTAAATAAGTGTATTTCTTAAGAGTAAATAGCCCGTCCATAGTCTCAGAACATTTTTCCCAAAATGAGTTTGAGAAAACATTTAAGATTTACCTCTCATAGTAAAAAAACCAAAAAAAAAAAAAAAAACCCAAAACAACTAAATATTTTGTCATTTATTCAATTTATTAAGGAATTTTTTAATAAGGAGTATGGGGCTCTGAGTTGGAGCTTTCCCAGTTTTTTTTTAAAGTCTATCAAGATTATAATTATAGAAACTTCATTTCCAGCTCCAGCAGTCCTTCTAATTCCTCTAAATTCCTTATGTAAATTGTTAAAAAAAAATTAATTCTTTTAAGCGTACAATCTTCGGAGCCACAACATATCCGTATAAGCAGACTCCTCCCCGCTCCTGGGGAAAACCCTGTCTAATATTTATAACGTTATGACATACTGTAATACTCACAAGGTAGTTGTAGAAGTATAACACGACTGGAGTTATCTGATTGGCTGCTGGTGATGTAACACTCATGTCAATACTTCCCAGTGAACGCACGTGTTCGACCTTTTATTTAAATTTCCATTTCATCACAGCAATAAGACACTCGGGGCGGTGCATTTTCTGTGAAATGATTATTGCCTTGGGCCTGAGTTGCTGCTCGCGTACACAATGCATCAGAGGAGGAGGTGTCCATGGTTGTAACCTCCTCGCGTGAAAAGCACCGCCTGGTCCAGTCTTTGTGAAGGAACAAAATAAGTTCACTTCCTTGGGCACCGCCACCCACCCCCGACCAAATGACAAGGCTGCAGCTCAGCTCCCACCGCACAGTTATTTCCCAAGTCCCAGGTGAACTCGTGGCGAGAGAAGGAAAATGTGCGTCTCGGGCGCGGGTAGGTGCGTGTGGGCAGCGGGGAGGCGGCCAGACCCTGACACTCGCCAGCTGTTTGTCCTCCGCGTAGCCCAGCCCCGGCTGCACACGTCCACCCCCTCCCCGAGACCCCCAGCCTGCCGTCCGGCCTTTTGTCCCCCGCCCCTCGGCCGACTTCCTTCCCCGGGGCCGCACCCCCGCCCCCAGGCCAGAGGCGCGGCCCGGCCCCTTTCCCGGTCCCCTGGCGCCCCCACCCCAGCCCAGCCCAGCCCCAAGCCCAGCCCCCCTCCCCCAGCCCGGCCCCCACCCTTTCCCCCTCCAGCGGTTACTGCTACCCCGGTGCATTGTGGGCGCACGGTCCGTTGTTCATTTGCCATTCGACCTCCGCCACGGCCTGGTCGGACGGAAACGCTCCGCCGGCTTTATTGTCGGTTCGTTATGTGGCGGAGCCCAGCAGTTTAATGTGCCTCTCACCCTCAGCGCCTCGGAAGCCGGCGGCGGCGTTGGGACTCCTCCGTGCGCCAGAGGAAGGATATCTATTTTGGAGGGTCTGTGTGTGCGCGCGGCTTTAAAGAAGGGGCAGCGGAGGTTCTCCCCGCACTCGGCCTCCCAACTTCGAAGGCCCCACGCGCCCCCGGCTCGCTCCTCACCTCTCCGCCGCCCGCCCCCTTCTCCGCGCGGGACGCTGCCGGGAGCGCAGCGGGGCGGGGGTGGAGGACGAGGAGTGCGGCTGGAGGCGGCGGCCCGGCGGGCGACGGCGGACGCGTGAGGCAGTCCGGGAGCGAACGCCAACCGGCCGGGCGGGAGGGCGAGGCCGAGCCCTGCGAGACCGGAACGCCGGGGGCGGGGGCGAAG